TCTACTCACATTTGCATGCTTTTGAACTGCTACGTAGGCAGGAGCTGGGGCGAGTAACAGGAGCAAACTCCTTCATGCATCTTTTAAGCCACTGAGCCACCACACCTAAAATAAGAGGAGAGCATCCAAAAAATACCTCAGTGAGGCGTAGGGATGCTGATTCAGGGTGGAGTGGAAAAAGTGAAACTAACAGAGTTAAGAGAAACGAATGGAATGAGTTATAAAACTGTGTCTCGTGATTCACATGAAATCTGTGTGTAAATCGTATCTAATTTCATGCAAAGAAGCAAATCAAAAATGTGCATATCAGGATATTTCCATCTGTCGAACTAGCAATTAAATTAAGGGCAAAACATGATTTGATGTACTTTTAAAGGAGTTCCATTAAATTTGTGCCTAAGAAATCCGATTTGACATAGCAACCACACATTCAGGGGCTGCCACAAAGAACAGGGAGTCAAGCTATTTTCCAAGGTGCCTGAAGGCAGGACAAGAAGCAATGGATGGAAACTAATCAAGGAGAGAAGCAACCTAGAACTGAGGAGATACTTCCTGACAGAGAGAACAATTAACCAGTGGAACAACCTGCCTCCAGAAGCGGTGAATGCTCCAACACTGGAAGTTTTTAAGACGAGACTGGACAGCCATTTGTCCAAAATGGTATAGGGTTTCCTGCCTGAGCAGGGGGTTGGACTAGATGACCTCCAAGGTCCCTTCCAACTTTATTATTATTATTATTGTTGTTGTTGTTGTTGTTGTTGTTGTTATTATTATTATTATTATTATTATTATTATTATTATTATTATTATGCCATTGGCCTCATGGTGTCACTGATGTTTTTAAAAATATAATTCATGTCAATATGTGAAAACGTGAGGCAATTGAACTAAAACTATTGATTAATCTTATGATATAAATTACACCTAGAGGTCCAGATTGACATTGAAACAATTGACTTGTCCATTATTTAGAGATCGAAGTCTGAATTTGGTCCATTGTATTTGAAGTCCATTAACTGGATGTCTCATTGTTTATGTAACTGATTTTGAAATGCATCTGTGGCAAAATCTGCTTTTGCATTTTCTAATCTTCCAAAAGAACCTTTTGTTTTTCTTACCTATTGTACAAGAGTTGGGAGAATGCTTTATCTACTTAACAAATTTTGTATGTTGCCTCAATCTTGGTGGCTAACGAGATACTTTTTTTGAACTTCTTTTGATGCTGTTTTTGAGCTGGCATTATTGCTGGATGAAGGAGAGGATGCAAGTAATTGTGCTGTCCCAAAGGTCCTTTTTCAAAAGGCAACTGGACTTTGTTTTTCTTTGAAGATGTTTCACTTCTTACCCAAGAAGCTTCTTCAGTTCTGAAGCATAATCCAATCATATTATTCTATAATAATAATAATGATGATGATAAAGTTGGAAGGGACCTTGGAGGTCATCTAGTCCAACCCCCTGCTCAGGCAGGAAACCCTATACCATTTTGGACAAATGGCTGTCCAGTCTCTTCTTAAAAACTTCCAGTGTTGAAGCATTCACAGCTTCTGGAGGCAGGTTGTTCCACTGGTTAATTGTTCTGTCAGGAAGTTTCTCCTTAGTTCTAGGTTGCTTCTCTCCTTGCTTAGTTTCCACCCGTTGCTTCTTCTCCTGCCTTCAGGCGCTTTGGAAAATAGCTTGACTCCCTCTTCTTTGTGGCAGCCCCTGAGATATTGGAACACTGCTATCATGTCCCCCCTCATCCTTCTCTTCATTAAACTAGACATACCCAATTCCAGCAACTGTTCCTTATATGTTTTAGCCTCCACTCCCCTAATCATCTTTGTTGTTCTTCTCTGTACTCTTTCTAGAGTCTCAACATCTTTTTTACATCGTGGTGGCCAAAACTGGATGCAGTATTCCAAGTGTGGCCTTACCAAGGCATTGTAAAGTGGTATTAATACTCATGTGATCTTGATTCTATCCCTCTGTTAATGCAGCCTAGCACTGTGTTGGTTTTTTTGGCAGCTGCAGCACACTGCTGGCTCATATTTAAATGATTGTCCACTAGGACTCCGAGATCCCTCTCACAGTTACTACTATTGAGCAAGGTACCCCCTATACTATACCTGTACATTTGGTTTTTCTTGCCTAAATGTAGAACCTTACTTTTTTCACCATTGAATTTCATTTTGTTAGATAATGCCCAGTGTTCAAGTCTTTCCAGATCCTCCTGTATCCTAAGCCTGTCTTCTGGAGTGTTGGCTATTCCTGCCAGCTTGGTGTCGTCTGCAAATTTGATGAGTTCCCCATCTATCCCCTCGTCCAAATCATTGATGAAGATGTTGAAGAGCACTGGGCCCAGAACAGAGCCCTGGGGCACCCCACTACACACTTCCCTCCATGTAGATGCAGTTCCATTGAGGACCACATGCTGAGTACGGATCCATCTGGTGGTGATGCTGTCTAACCCACATTTTTCTATCTTATCAAGTAGTAGGTTGTGATTTACTTTGTCAAATGAAAAGGATAATGCTACCATACATCAAATATATCTTGGAAACATCCAACAAACTATCCCAAAGAAAGGCAATTGGACTTCTTTGGTTTTTTCCCCTTGAAAATCTTCGCTTCTCATCCAAAAAAGAGAATGGTTGTAAGTCCAGGACTACCTATAATGATCTTATACTAATAGTATTTCATTAGTCTTCTCATCAGGAACCAAAGACTGGCAAAACATCTGAAAGTAGAAAGAAGACACTTCTTCATTTTAGCCAGCAGCATGAAGTCTATTTTGGACAGGAGGCCTGCAAGTCTCTACAGAATAAGAGTTGGAAGGGACCTTGGAGGTCTTCTAGTCCAGGGGTCTTCAAACGTTCTGGTTTGGTGGCCCAGTGGGAGAGGGAAGGGCAGGTGCCTTATGTGGGCCTGCGCAAATGTGAATGTGGTCACACGTGCACCATGCAAACGGCTGCAAGCATACACATGAGGCTCTCAACGACTCTGGCTACCATTGGCATGAAGATCACGCCACCACGTGAAGCTCACATCGCAGCCTGCAGCGATGCCACCACCGACACAAGTCTCATGCTGCTGCCCCTGCATGAGGCTCACACCGCAGCCAGCCTGCTGCCACCCACACAAGGTTTGTGGCAATGCTGCCTGCTGTTGTGGCCTGTCAGCCACCGGAGGACTCCGCGGCTGACTCAGAGGAGGTAGCACAGGAGTGGGCATCGGGCCCAGCGTCAGGGCCATCTGAAAGCTCCGATGGGGACGAAGGAATGGAGCTGTCGCAGCCAGGGATAGAGGCGGAGCCTGGGCCATCCGCCAGCCCCCAGATGGAAAGGCTGAGACCCATGCCTTGAGACAAGTGATTCAGGAGAGGAGGATCACATGGTGCCAGTGATTGATGAGCGGGTGCGGCGTAGGCTGAGAAGAGGAGAACAGCGGGAGGCTATGGGGTGGTCTTTGGGGTGGAAGAGCCACTGCTGCTAACAGAGCTGCACTGTGGATAAAAGGCAGGGGCGGAGACGAATAGGTGTGGCAGACAACTATTTGTCTCCCTGCCTATCAGCCTCTTCTATTTAGAACTCCTAACTCTTGTTTGAAAACTTGCCGAGTTTCCTCGGATCCTGTGGAGCCGGGAGTCAAAGTACCTTCTGAGCATGTGCATGTGTCTTATGTTGGAAAAGAGCCAGCTTGCCTGGACTCTTGCTGCAAGCATGGTGAGAGACTGAGATTAACTCTGGATATTTGTGAGGCCCCCCGCAGGGAAAAAGGGAGCGAGCTCCATTGTTTGGAGGCAACTAAAGACTTTAACAGTAGGCTGTGTGAAACTGCTGGCGTTCCTGAATAAAAGGAACGTTGGAAATTTATTGGTGCGTCTGTTGTGTTCGGGGGAGCCGAGTCAGAACACCTGCGTGTGGCGCGCTGCCGCCCACCTGCCGTTCATGGCGTTGCCGCCGCCTGTACAAAGTTTGTGGCAATGCCACTGCCCGCACAATAGTAGCAGGGCTGCTGCTGCTTGCACAACACTTGCGGCAGCAGTGGCACAAGGGCAGGTGAGCACACACAAACACACATGTGTATTGTCCAGCTACTTGCGTGGCCTAGTGGCCAAGAGCCGCGGCCCGGTAGTGGGCTGCAGCCCATAGGTTGGGGAACCTCTGTTCTAGTCCAACCCCCTGCTCAAGCAGGAAGCCCTATACCAGGGGTAGGCAACCTTGGCTCTTTTATGACTCGTGGACTTCAACTCCCAGAATTCATGAGTCAGCTATGCTGACTCAGGAATTCTGGGAGTTGAAGTCCACGAGTCATAAAAGAGCCAAGGTTGCCTACCCCTGTCCTATACCATTTCAGACAAATGACTGTCCAATCTCTTCTTAAAAACTTCCAGTGTTGGAGCATTCGCAACTTCTGGAGGCAGGTCATTCCACTGATTAATTGTTCTAACTGTCAGGAAATTCATCCTTAGTTCTAGGTTGCTTCTCTCCTTGTTCAGTTTCCATCCATTGCTTCTTGTTAATATTTTCTTAGACAGATTCCACTCATTTTAACCAGTGTCTAATTTTGCATTTTTAAAAAATTTTTGGATGCCAGAAGATGTTCACCCCCAAAAATGATTATTTACACCTGTTTACCATGATTAAGTTGCCACTGCTTATGAAACAGAAAAAGACCGTTCGTAATCCAACTTACAGGTACAGGGACCACATTTGCTTGGAAAAAGTGAAGAGAAAACTGAAAAAAGGGAAAAATCTGAAAGAGGCTCATAAGGATAATACAAAGAAGGTTTATGTTTATAACTTTGCTTTGGCAAGAAGCCTATCACCAAACCAAGCCCATGGGGTATCAGGCTTCCCTCTGTTCGCTCATATTTTCTGCTCTGTCCTTCCTCAAATTAATCCTGGGAGGAGCATCAATTTTCTTCCTGCTTGATTAGCTGGGATTTTTTATAAGCAGGAGAGGTTAAGGTGCTTTTGCTGCCTCCTGGCTCAAACAGCACGCCCTTGAATTGCACAGCCATGCCTTCTGTACAACTGCTCGCTTGCCTTTTGATCTGTATAATCCTGCCGTTTTTAATCTTAATCCAAGCAGCTACCAGAATCTACTACATTGGCGCTGTGGAAGAATATTGGGATTATGCACCTACGGGGAAGAATCAGATCACGGGACAAAAGCTCACAGAAGATAAGTAAGATCAGAATTTGTTGTTCCACGGCAAAGTTTTTTTTTTTTTTTTTTAAAGTTATTTCATCCCATTGGATAAAATTGTGTATGGCACCCAGATGCAGCTTGCTGGCTTAGTGTGGCTTACACGTTGTTGGCTTTCTATCATTTCAAAAGTAAATCCAGACAATTTTTAACAGCAGCGTTAATATTCATCTTGAGATTGGGTTGGGGTTTTTTTTGGGGGGGGGGTTGGGGAGGGAAGGGGGTGAAAAAAATTGTGAAACATGATACTGTATTTCAGGGCAGATCCATGTCACACAAGTTGCAAATATTTATTTATTTATTTATTTATTTATCATTTGCTATAATAATAATAATAATAATAATAATAATAATAATAATAATAATAATAATAATAATAATAATAATAATAATAATAATAATAAAAGTTGGAAGGGACCTTAGAGGTCATCAGGTCCAACCCCCTGCTCAAGCAGGTAACCCTATACCATTTCGGACAAATGGCTGTCCTGTCTCTTCTTAAAAACTTCCAGTGTTGGAGCATTCACTGCTTCTGGAGGCAGGTTGATCCACTGGTTAATTGTTCTCACTGTCAGGAAGTTTCTCCTTAGTTCTAGATTGCTTCTCTCCTTGATTAGTTTCCATCCATTGCTTCTTGTCCTGCCTTCAGGTGCTTTGGAAAATAGCTTGACTTTATTTATTTCCTTATTATTTATTTGCTTATTTATTTATTTCCTTGTTTATTTATTTCCTTGTTTATTTATTTAATTTATTTATGCCACCCATAAGGTGACTCTAAATTTCCTTGCTTATCAGCAAAAGGATTGCAAGATGAGAGGAACTTCCTATATGAAATGTTTTGTAAATCAAGATTAAATAAACCTTGAGGTTGTTCTAAACATTGTACGTTCCCAAATTAAATTCAGTGGAGGTTTTTAAGAAGAGATCGGACAAGTATTTCTCCAAAATGGTTGCTTCTCTCCTTGATTAGTTTCCATCCATTGTTTCTTGTCCTGCCCTCTGGTGCTTCGGAGAATAATTTGAACCCCTCCTCTATGTGGCAGCCCCTCAAATACTGGAATACTGCTATCGTGTCACCCCTGGTCCTTCTTTTCTCTAGACTAGCCATACCCAGTTCCTGCAACCATGATAATCCAATTGTATGACCTTTATTTATCGTTAAGCAAATCACCATGGTTGTTAAGCAATGCCATGGTTGTTAAGTGAACCCTTTGTTCTCTATGCGGTATTTTTGCAGAAAACTGGTAGTAAATGCTAATTTTCAGCAAAAAAAACCCATAAAACCTCGTGGCTATATGACTGTGGGACACTGCCAACAGTCATAAACACAGTCTAGTTGCTAAGACCCCAAAATGCAGTCACACAACAGCAGGGAGACACCAATCAAAAGTAGATCCTAAGTACCTGTGGGTGGTGGGGACTGTTGTAACTTTGAACAATCACTAAGTGACTGGTTGTATGTCAAGAACTACCTGTATGTAATTGTGTGTGTGTGTGTGTGTGTGTGTGTGTGTGTGTGTGATCTTATTCACACTCCATGTGTTGTGTTTTCGGTTCGTTGGCAATTGACGAAGACACATGGTGAAAACCACAAGCTCTTTATTTCTCTCTCCTACAACCAAGCAAACAGCAAAAGGCATGCAAGCCTTTTATAGGGCAAGAAACCCGGACAGTGTGAACCAATAGGAATTGACCCTTTTCACGCCTTGCACATGCGCACAAGGCTGGCGCCACCCTGTCTGGTCCCGGGCAGCTTTTGGATTGCCCGGGACCATTTGCAACAATCCTGAGCCTGCTTTCAGCTCTTGCAGGCTCAGGACACAACACCATGTGTGTTATATGTTGCAGTATATTCATCTGCAACATACAGTGTAAGGACTGTAGTAACCACTGTGTAGAACAGACAAGCAGAATACTTACAGAGCACATCCATGAACACGAACTACCATCAAAAGACATGATGGATACTCCATAATCTCACATACATGGACAGACTCAGCCATGGTTCAACTAGGGATCTGTGGACATTCTAGACCAGGTAAATCCAAAAAATGCTAGGGAATTCCTCGAAGCCTAACATCTAGCCATCAGTAAATACATAGAGATAAACCACATTTACACACCATTCAAAAGAGACAATAAAAGAAGCTAAGAAGGAAACAAAAAGACACATCCTCTCCATCAGTAAACACACAGATAAACAGAGGTTAACACCAGGCAGAAAACAATACTCTAATCAAGGAATTACCAAAGAGACAACCACATGCCCATCAGTATTGATAGGGCAAACCCCACACTCACCAGCATTGATGTTGTTAACTAATTGGATAATAAAACGTCTTGGCTTTTCAAATGTCATGTGTTTCCTTCTGATCTCTTTTTCTTTTTGCTAATGGAAAGAGAATGCTATCTAAGGCAGATCAAATTCTAAAGTTGTTGTGTGCAAAATCATTCCTATAGGCATTCATTGATATTTGGATATTACAGGAATGGCTTGCCAAGTTCATTTTCTTTCAACTTTAATTTTACAACGGTGTTTTCTTTTTTCCAGTAGCTAATTCCAACGACCATGGAAAGACATAATCAAAGATTGTAAAAGCACACAACTGAAAGCCATGTTTTTTTAAGCTAAACAAAGCTGGCTACTGAGGAAGTGGTTAATTGCTGTTTATTTTCAGTTATATACTACTACTAATAATAATAATAATCAAAACAATAAAGTTGGAAGGGACCTTGGAGGTCATCTAGTCCAACCCCCTGCTCAGGCAGGTAACCCTATACCATTTCGGACAAATGGCTGTCCAGTTTCTTCTTAAAAACGTCCAGTGTTGGAGCATTCACCGCTTCTGGAGGCAGGTTGTTCCACTGATTAATTGTTCTGACTGTCATGATATTTCTCCTTAGTTCTGGGTTGCTTCTCTCCTTGATTAGTTTCCATCCGTTGCTTCTTGTCCTGCCTTCAGGTGCTTTGGAGAAGAGCTTGACTCCCTCTTCTTTGTGGCAGCCCCTGAGATATTGGAACACTGCTATCATGTCCCCCCTCATCCTTCTCTTTGTTAAACTAGACATACCCAATTTCAGCAGCTGTTCCTTATATGCTTTAGCCTCCAGTCCCATAATCATCTTTGTTGCTCTTCTCTGTATTAAATGACATATTAAATGACATATTGCTTCTCTCTCTTTGCTGATTTGTTTATTAGGGGATCTGTAACACCTGAATTTCAGATTCCTATATTTTGTTTTGTATCAAGCTTAAATGAGTATACACATTTGATAATTTTTTTTTAAAAAAAAAATCCCCATATTCTGGAGAATGGAAGTGATACGGTACAGGTAGTCCTCGACGTACGACCACAATTGAGCCCAAAATGTCTGTTGCTAAGCGCAAAGTCATTAAGTGAGTTTTGCCCCATTTTACGAACTTTCTTTCCACGGTTGTTAAAATAAATCACTGCCCTTGTTAAATTAGTAATGTGGATGTTAGGTGAATCTGGCTTCCCCGCTGACTTTGCTTCTCAGACGGTCGCAAAAGATCATCACTTGATCCCAGGGCTCTGAAACCATCATAAATATGAGCCAGTTGTCCAGCCTCTGAATTTTGGTCACATGACCATGGGGATGCTGCAACAAGTGTAAGTGTGAAAAAAAAGATCATAAGTCACTTTTTTTTCTGTGCCGTTGTAACTTGGAACAGTCACTAAATGAACTCTTGCAAGTTAAGAGCTACCTGTATTTGAAGTTTAATCTTCTACCGCAATGGGAACCTCGGTTGGAAATGGGTTTTCCCACTTTTCGTTGTAGGGAGGCAAATAACACTATGAGAAGAGGACCTAACAGGATTGGACGAGTTTACAAGAAGGCAATTTTCAAGCAGTTCACCGATGATTCCTACTCTCACGAGATTGCCAAACCATCTTGGCTGGGTGTTCTTGGTCCGGTGCTGAAGGCTGAAGAAAAGGACACATTTATGATTCATTTTAAAAACTTTGCTTCCCGGCCATATTCTGTACATCCGCACGGAATCTTATACAAGAAGGACTCAGAAGGTAAAACAAATAACTTCTTTTCTGCCTTTCTGTTTCAGACGTTATTCTCCAATAATACTGCTAATGTGACTCTGGAATAGCGTACTGGCACTAGGCTGAAATGGCCTGGTCCTTCACACCTCAGTTAGTCTGCTGAGATATATAAAAATATCCCTTGATGTATTGAGCCATATTCTGGATCAGTCCAATGGTCTGATTCTCACAATTACCCAGATAATTCCAAGGAGTTCATTTTTTTTTAAAAAAAAAGGCTACCATTCAGCAACCAGCTAAAAATTAAGGATGTTGCAATGTCCCGTGATCATGGGATAACCATTTGTGACTTGCACTGCCAGCTTCTGGCAAGCAAAGTCAATGGGAAAGCCAGCAGGAGGTCACAAATGGCAATCCCATAGCCGCAGGACACAGACTGTGCAGGATTCGCCTAACAATAGCAACTGTGACTGTTGGAACTGCTATTGTAAGTTGATGCAGTCACATGACATTGTATTTTATAACCACGTTACTTCGCAACCGCATTCTGGTCGCATTACCATCGATAAACAAGGATTTCAAGGTTTTTTCATCTTTTCCCATTGAGGTACACTGCACAAGTCAGAAAGAGGGCAGTGAAAATATCTACAGATCCCTCACATCCTGGACATAAACTGTTTCAACTTCTACCCTCAAAACATTGCTATAGGGCCGTGGTGGCGAACCTATGGCATGTGTGCCACAAGTGGCATGCAGAGCCTTCTCTGTGGGCACGCGTGCCGTCACCCCAGTCTTAGGCCTTCAGCTGGTTTTATAAAACCTTTTCACTTTAGGCCTCCACCACCGTGTGCAAAAAAAAAAGGGTTCAATCAATCAATCAGTTTCAACTTCTTGCGGGGAAAAAAAGATCTCGCAAAGTTGGAATTGATTGATTGAAATTTTTAATCCCACCCAGTCTGCCGTTACCACTGCAGCCACGCCCACCCGGCACCCGATGATACATAAGTGCGTTTTGGATTGCAGTTTAGGCACTTGGTCTCTAAAAGGTTTGCCATCACTGCTATAGGGCATTGCACGCCGAAACAATTAGACCCAAGGACAGTTCCCCCCCCCCATGCCATCACTCTACTCAACAACTAATTCCCACAACATGGTCAAACTATCTAGTAAGGCTGTATTATGTATTACCATTATTCCTCTCATCTTTCCTTTTACCAATCTCCTAATCTATTTATGACTATAATTTTGTTGCTTGTATTTTACGATTTATATTGTTTTATTTGGTATCCTAGTATGATTTATGTCGATTGCTTATTCTAGTATCCTATGGCTATCACTAAGTGTTGTATCTTATGATTTATGATGTATTTTTATGATGACTATGATCATGATTTATCACTTACTGCTTGTATGTACACTGAGACCTTATGCACTGGAGACAAATTTCTTCTGTGTCCAATCACACTTGGCCAATAAAGAATTCTATCCCATCCCATCCCATCCCATCCCATCCTATTCTATTCTATTCTATTCTATTCTATTCTATTCTATTCTATTCTATTCTATTCTCTTTTTTAAATGGCATAAGAATCCAGGAGCACCTTTGAACTTTGGAAGCAGAAAAAGTGCTGTTACAGCGTTAAATGAAAATATTATGGATTCAGACAGTCTTCTTTCCTTATCTGCTTCAGGAGCTCTTTATCCTGATGGAACAAGTGGAAAGAGTAAAGAAGATGACTTTGTTCTCCCTGGGACCAACTACACATACATATGGCCAGTTACTGAGGATTTTGCACCTACTCCAGCTGATCCACCATGTCTGACCTGGATTTACCATTCACACATTAACAGCCCAAAAGATATCAACAGTGGGTTAATTGGACCTTTGCTGGTTTGTAAGAAAGGTACAGATTTTAATTAATATGAATATTTAATAGTGTTGGAACAAAATGTTATATATAACTATACTATAACTATTATATATATATATATAGTTATATATATAGTTATATATATAATATATATAGTTATAGTTATATATAGTTATATATACGGTAGTTATATAGTTATATATACGATGTCAGCAGATGCTGACGAAAGCTAAGTTTTTAAATAAATTCTTCAGTCTCGGTGATCTGTGTTTTAATTTTTGAATATGAATATACCCGAGACTCATATCTTTAAGACTATTTTATATATATATATAAATATCAAAATAATGTAATAAAAGTGCAAATAGAATGCTAGCAAGGAAAAGCATCACACGATCAATTTCTACAAATGAAGCAGGGAAAGTGGAAACCTAGCAATGGGCTACTACTAGAACATTAAAAAAAGAAACTGAAGGCTTGATTTTGGTTAATAATAATAATAATAATAATAATAATAATAATAATAATAATAATAATAATAATAATAATAATAATAATAATAATAATAAAAGTTGGAAGGGACCTTGGAGGTCATCTAGTCCAACCCCCTGCTCAGGCAGGAAACCCTATACCATTTCAGACAAATGGCTGTCCAGTCTCTTCTTAAAAACTTCCAGTATTGGAGCATTCACCGCTTCTGGAGGCAGGTTGTTCCATTGCTTAAGATCAAGCTAGTTGAACTAGTTCAATCAAGGCCAGAACTGAAAAATCATCCTGATTCAAAATGAAGATTGGGCAAAAAAGAAGAAACAGTAGATCATATACTCATTCATGCAAGAAGATTACACAAAGTGATTATAAACGACAATATAACATAGTCATCAAAATTATTCACTGGAATATCTTTGAAGTTGTCATATAGCAATAATATAAAATTGGTGGGAACAGAGAATTGAAAAAATGGTTGAAAGTGAGCAGGTTAAAATATAGTGGGATTTCTGAATATAAACTGATTAAAAGTCTTGGCTTTATCAGCCAAGATTGTATCGCATCAGATATAACTATGTTTGAAAAGAAGGAAGTGTGGATAATATGGCAACACCAAGGGATAGTAGAATAGAAGACAAAGAATTGGAGAAGATTACAAAGTATGAAAATCTCAAAACTGAAATTGAAAGATTATAGCATAAACCAACTGGGGTGTCCTAGTGATTATTGCCATGGTGAATGCCATATGGAAATACTTGGATGGCCCTTAGAAAATCTGCTCATTGATAAAATTTCCATCAATAATTATAAAAGGCAACACATGTACTATGTTAATACATTGCAAAGGCTTTAGATTCATAATTTTTCCCCTGAAGTAGCTTGCTAATCTTTCAATAGTCAGAATAGCCTGGAATTTGCCTTGTGAAAAATGGTCATAAGTCTCTTTTTTTCAGTGCTTTTGTAACTTCAAACGGTCACTAAGCGAACTGTTGTAAATTGAGGACTATCTGTAATCCCAAGTATGTAGGCTATGTGTCTTCAGAACCCAATGTCTCTGAAATGATACAGGGAGCAAAGACATTAAAATAAATGTATCCCCTCCCCAAGAATTCCCTGGTAAGAATTCAACAATCTCACCCTTAAATGTGTATGAGAATTTGCATATTACAAAGTGCACATTGTTGGAACTATAGTATTGTCACCTGAAATCTTGCAGTATTTCAACGGTGCACAAAATCTGGCAAACCTGCAAGTTTGCCAGATTTTGGCAATATTCACTTCTTTTAAAAAAATGATTTTGGCGTGCCCCAGATGCTTGGTATCTGGGTGGGCTGGATTGCTGTTTCTTCAGTACATTTTTTCTAACTTAGGGTTGGTTTCAGAGTCAGATTTTTTGCAGATTTAAGCATGTTCCAAATAAATGTCCTTAAGAGGGGTTTTTTTTAATTTCTTTTTAAAGGATTTTTAGGCAACATTTCAGCTTCAGCGGCAGACAACTTCAAAGGCTTTGCCCTGATGTTCAGCAATATAGATGAAAATTTCAGCTGGTACCTGGATGAGAATATAAACACTTTTTGCTTAGATCCTAGTACGGTCGATAAAGAGGATGAAGATTTTCAGCTCAGCAATATTATGTTATGTAAGTTGTTGCCATAACCAATGCCATTGTAAGATGCTGTTTTTATAGCCATAATAGGTTTGGAGTGTGAGATCTACCGTAGCTGCTGCAGCTTTTCTTAAGTAAGAAATTTGAAATGGTAAGTTACATTTCAGTAATATTATTAGGGCCTTGTGTCTAGATTGCTTGCAGGCTGAAATAGAGTTTGCAAGGCTAAGTACCTTTCATTTCAAGCAGTGCTTCTCACTTGAATTAAGTCCCTTCTGGTCCTATGATTCTATGTTCTGTGTTCAAATGGTGACATTTCAGCATCCTCCCTGGAAAAGAGAGATTATGTAAACCAGGTGAGGGTGGATTTTAAGCTGGTGAGATTCATTTTATTAAGACCTCCAGGTTCATCAACTGGAGCTTAATGTGATGCATAAATGCATAAAGGACCAAGTTGTAAGCCAGAAGACCACAGCAAGCAACTTGAAAGATGACAGGACAGTATCAGAACTAAGGAGACATTATCAGATAAAGTTCCATTAATTCAATAACCAGTATACATGGGCAAGGTAAGTTTATGGCTTTAGAATTTTGTTTCGATTAACACAAATAAATAGTGAGAATAGCATTTTAGTCTAGAAAGTGTAATACTTTGAAATTCCCTGTTACTCGCCTAAGAATGAGATGGTGCAGAAAGTTGCAATAAAGGAGTTGAAATGGACCTTAGAAGTTGTCCAGTCTAGTCTGTCAGGAAATTTCTCTTTATTTCTAGGTGTCATGGTTCTGACAGATGAAACTCTTCAAAAGAACTTTGAGGCATTGTTTACCTTAAAGAATCTTTTATTCAAGAAACAAAGTATTGGCACTACATAGTTAAAGCCAAAAACTGAATTCCCCTCCCCTGGGCACAAAGTAGCAAAGCACAACTTCCTCCTCCAATTAACAGTCATAAATCACATTCCCCAATTAGCTTGAAGCACGGGCTTTCTCCCCAGCTCTCCAGCCTGGCCAAATCTTTATCAACTCTGGGCTCAATAACCTTGGATTCCCACGCTGAGTTATTATTGTTATGACTAACTGGACTCTCATCCACATCCCCCCTCCCAGCATCAACTAACTCTAAAAGCAAAAGAGAAAAGATAGCTACATTTCCATCTGTTGTCAAAGCAAGAACATCCGATGTTAGCACTGTTGACACTAGGTTGCTTCTCTCCTTGATTAGCTTGCATCCATTGTTTTTTGTCCTGCCTTCTGGTGCTTTGGGAATAGGTTGACTCCCTCTTCTTTGTGGCTGCCCCTCAAATATGCTATCAAATCACCCATTGTCCTTTTCATTAGACTTTTCACTAGACCAGGGGTAGGCAACCTTGGCTCTTTTATGACTCATGGACTTCAACTCCCAGAATTCCTGAGCCAGCCATGCTGACTCAGGAATTCTGGGAGTTGAAGTCAACGAGTCATAAAAGAGCCAAGGTTGCCTATCCCTGCAGTAGACTTATCAAATTCCTGCAACTGTTCTTCATATTTTAGCCTCCAGTCCCTTCATCTTTGTTGCTCTTCTCTGCACTCCTTCTAGAGTCTCAACACCTTTTTCATATCATGGCGATCAAAACAGGATGCAATATTCCAAGTGTGGTCTTAACAAAGTATGACAAAGTGGTACTAACACGACACATGATCTTGATTCTTTCTCTCTCTTAATGCAACCTGGGACTGCATTAGCTTTTTTGGTAGCTCATAGTGATTGTCCACTAGGACTCCTAGATCCTTCTAACAGGTTTTGCTGTTGAGCCAGGTACCACTTACTGAGCAAATAATACAATAATACTATAGAATTCCAGATAGATGGCCATCCAGCCTCTGATCAGTTAATTCAGGAGAAACCACATTAGTGGCAATCAGTTTCACACTGGATATTGGTATTCCCATTAGATATTTATCTAACATTGCAAAATGCTGTTGTTGTGTTGTTGTTTTTTTTAAAAAAATACAATTGCTAGGAGCATATTCTCAAGACTTGTTTTGGAAAGAAAGTGCTTTGTTGCATTCCTATTTCTCCTAACTTTTGCTGGTTTTATTTGTGTTATACATTTATAGCAATTAATGGATATATGTATGGAAACCTTCCTGGATTGGAAATGTGTGCTGGTGATTTGGTGTCCTGGTACTTGATTGGAATGGGGAGCGAGTTGGATGTTCACTCTGTGCACTTCTTTGATCATGTCCTGATTAACAGAGGATATAGGACAGATGTCATTAGCCTTTTTCCTGCCACCTTCATCACGGCAACGATGGTTGCGCAGAACATTGGGAAATGGCTTGTAAATTGTGAAGTCAATCGTCACATGACAGGTAAACAATTCAACAAGCAGCAGCATGCTAGGTATTCAGAAACACGTGCCATGTTCTAAGGCAGGGCTTTTCAACCAGTGGTACGGGTACCACCTGTGGTACATTGGCACCTGGCAGGTGGTACGCAACCATCCTAGAAAAGTGGTAGCGGGGGAGGGGAATGAGCTGAACCGGTGGCAGCACCGCACAAGCCTGAGCGAGAGATGGCTGGAGCTGCAGGGCTGTCAGGGCTCAGCGGAAGCACCAGGATCAGCACCAGGCTCCAGCTGGAGCTCGGCGCTGATCCTGGTGCTTCTGCTGAGCCCAGAAGAAGCGCCAATCAGCTGGAATGTTGCAGCATCTTCAGGGTCTTGTGATTTACATTCAGATGCTTGACAACTGATTCATATTTATGACGGTCACAGTGTCCCAGGGTCATGTGAAGTGACCAAAACCTGCTGCAACCACCCAGCAGACGGGGGGAATAAAAACCAAACACCCCCCCACCCCATCCCCAGTGCCAATCCTCAACAGAAATGCTCACAACAATGAAAACCTCAGACAGGAGGAAGAGCACGGCCGGGTGGGCAGGCAGGTGCCTTGCTCGGCTGTGCTTGGGGGGGCACTTTTTTCAGTACCATTGTTACTTCGAACAGTCACTAAGCGAACTGTTGTAAGTTGAGGACTACCTGTACTTTATCATTTTTTTCCTTTTTGGGGGGAGATCATCAAGTTTTTGACACCTTGCTAAGCGACTGGTGGTACTCAGATGTTGCCATATCCTAAAAGTGGTACAATGGGTGAAAAGGTTGAAAAGCCCTGTTCTAAGGCAGGGTGGAGACTTCTCAGTTAGATTTGGGCCAGAATTGGGCCAGATATCAGTTGAGCATGTGCCTTGAATAGACTGTGATAAGCATCTTGGATAAAGAAATTTTTTTGTGGGATTAGACCAGACATGTCAAACACAAGGCCTGGGGGGGTGGAATGCGGCCCGCGAAGTGGTTTCATGTGGCCCGCAAAGCCATCCTGGAAACAGTGAGGGAACGGCCCCCGCTGCCTTGGCCCTGGCCCAGGCCGGCCGGGAGCCAATGTACAATTTTATGGTGGCCATCTATGCTGAAACGCATTCAGTCTTAGCTCCACAAGGCTGTCTGGAAACAGTGAGGAACCAGCCCCTGCCACATCGGCCCCATCCCCTGGGTGCATGCTGGGGAGGTGTCACCCTTTGTTAGGAATGAAGAAATGCATCATCACTTGGAAGTGGCCAGCAAATGGCCGTCGCCTACTTTACCTATCTGGTTTGATGGGCTCTGGGGGAGGGGTTTCAGTAGGCAGTGGGGTGTTCTCCTCCCAGCACCGAGAGGCTGAGCCGGGCGGCGCAAATCCAAAAAGGAATACGAGGCCGCCCAGCTCCCAGCCGGCCCGGTTTCAGCAGGCAGCGGGGCATTCTCCTCACAGCGCCAAGAGCTGAGCTGGGTGGTGCGAAACTGATGAGAAGTGCAATGCTGCCTAGCCCCCAGCCTGCCCAGTTTCAGCAGGCAGCAAGGTGCAAAGCTGGCGAGCTTCACACCGCCCGGCTTAACCTCTCGGTGGTGTGAGGAGAGCACCCCACTGCCTGCCGAAACCACGCCCACCCAGTAAGTCACACCCACTCCATCCACACCCACCCAGTAGACCGCACCCACCCTGGCCACACCCACCCAGCCCCCCGAGGGCAACCGCAATGCTGATGCGGCCCTCAATGAAATTGAGCTTGACACCCCTGGATTGGACCAAAAGCAATTAAATGCTTCTCATGTTTCTTTTTTTTGCACTGCAGATGGAATGTCAGGATTATATAGCATCAAGTCTTGTGGTCAAAACATCACTCCTTCCTGGAGTGGTCATAAAAGAAAATATTTTATTGCCGCTGAAAGAATTCTGTGGGATTACGGACCAGGTGGTATTAATACATTCACCGGGCAACCTTTAAATGCCACTGACAGGTCAGCAACCTTCATTAATCTATTCCAGGGCTTTTCAACCAGTGGTACGGGTACCACCTGTGGTACATTGGCACCTGGCAGGTGGTATGCAACCATCCTAGAAAAGTGGTAGCCGGGGAGGGGAATGAGCTGAACCGGTGGCAGCACTGCACAAGCCTGAGCAAGAGATGGCTGGAGCTGCAGGGCTGTCAGGGCTCAGCAGAAGCACCAGGATCAGTGCCACTTTCCAGCTGATCGGCGCTTCTTCGGGGCTGTCAGGGCTCAGTGGAAGCACCAGGATCAGGGCCAGGCTTCAGCTGGAGCTTGGTGCTGATCCTGGCACTTCTGCTGAGCCCAAAAGAAGCGCC